AACCGAACTTTATGGAGGTATTAAAATTTTTCACCTCGTTATATATATGTAACAAGAAAATTCACTAGAACCTAAAATACCTATAAAGTCCCCCTCTTCCAATGGTCAGACGAAATATCATTCTGTTCATTTTATTGATTTTCTGACAATTCTAAGTCAATCATGAAAAGGATATAGCACATCTGAAGAGCCAAAATTTGACAAAAATGCTATTTAAATTTATAATTAGAAAATGTAAAGCAATGTTATTTTAACTAATTTATTATTTTCCTTCGATTAACTGAATGAAAGATGCACAAAACGGTCCACAATGGGTTAACTGATTGTTAACTTTGTCAACTAGCTGTGAAAAATTCTTATCCTTGCTGACATTAGGGCGGAATTCAGATAAATTTTCGCAATTACGATGGCTCTATTTAGCCAATCAGAAGCCCGTATTTTTGCAAACATATCGCCTTTTGCGATATTTAAAAATCAGGGTTTTGATTGCCCAAATTTGTCCATCGTAAGTGCAAAAATTTAGCTGAATTTATCCCTAGAAAGCCATGGATTTACGAAATATAGATTTTTTGTGTTCATACGATAGATTAATGAAGAAGCTAACATAAAACTGACGGATTTTGCACAGTACTGATATATAGTATAAAAAAAAGTTCATTTAAGAAGGAAACATAAAATAAATTTTGATTCGGGAGCCCCCCTCTGATGTCGGGGCCCGGGGCAACTGCCCCGTATGCCCATGCCTTTGTCCGGCTCTGCTTGATTATCATGTGCAAAATATTTTGTCATTACTTGTCCTAATTTTTAGATTTTTGTCCAGATATTCCTGATTTGCGTGTGCGTTCCCACACATCGGGATTATCAATGTTTAAAACTTTGATAATCCCTTTGGATTTTAGTCATTTTATTCGAAAGAAACTTAAAAATTTTTTAAAAAATTTTTACGTTTATGTATATAATATAAAATATTATGGTGATAAATTTAGAGATCATATGCTTATTTATCATATTTAGTAAATACTGCAAAAAATTTTGTAGGATGGAGTTTTTACACAATACCTCTCTTTTATCTTTGATCATTTCCAATCAACAATGCAGTAATCATATTCTATTACTTTTTAGGGTGAATTGTGGGATCGTCTATTAAAATTATTTAAAACAAAATGTTCACTGTTTTTATTTTGAAATTATTGAAAGCCAAATTTAAAACTATTTGATTAACAAAATCTCAATTGCAATTTTTAATTATATATCGGCATGAGGAAATATCAACTAATTGATACAGGTAATTTTTTTTATGAGAATACTAAAACTTTTTCATGTATTGATTTGAAACTATTATGAATTGTTCAGTATTGATAATATTATACTGAAAAGTCTTAAAACTTTCTCTTCTAAACAAAGCAATTCGAAAATTTAAAATTGTAAAATTTATTATTCTTTTGTTGTGAAATTCGCTATTATTACACTTAAGTAGAGCAAATTATGCGTTTGCATATTTTGAAAGTAGTATGATATATGTAAACTGTTCCGAAAATGCCTTGATTTTTTTCTTTAATCCACTATGAAGCCATCGAGCTTTGTTTTTGAATTGCAGTGGTGTGCAGGGAGAAGTCAAAGGAGTCATGACCATGAACGAGCATTTCTTTACATTTTAGAAAAATCAAAGAATCATAAATTTTTGGAACTTCCGTATACAATTATTTTATTTTATAACCGCCGTTGCACAGTCCACCCAATTATATGGGTTTACGACTACTAATGATCAACTCCGCAGCCTTGTAATTTTGAACCCAATCCAGAAGACAAGAGAACTCCTGGATCGAGAATTGAGAGAAATTTGCCTTCGTGGAGGACTTTTTGATGGAGCTAACCCGCATTTGCGTTACATAGAGAGGACGACCACGAGAACCTCCCACAGTTAGCCTGACGGCAAGGAGACTCTAACCCATGATCCGTCTACCACTGAGGATATTTTACGTTAGCACTGTGGTCGGTGCAAGCCGGATGCGGAATTCGTATCGACTGGGATTCGTACCCGGTTCGCCGCATTGGAAGGCGAACGCTCTCTCCCCAGAGCCATCACGGCTCTCGTATACAATTATAAAAAAGATTATTAGATTTAGATTTTTATAAATGCATGTAACTTTTCAATTTTTTTTTTTTTAAATTTAAATTAGTTTTTTGCTCGTTCCTTTTTTTGCTTAATTTAGTGATTTCACTATTCTTTACAGGGGCATCTAACAAAAGAATCAACCCCTGTCATTCACGTTCGACCAGTGGTGCGCTGATGTGGTTGAGGGGGCCTTAGAAATTCAGCCAAAGGGGGCATTCAATCGATGACTAATGGCACTGAAACCTTAAATCTATTTCTAATATTTTTAATAAATTAAATTTTCTCAATTTGAGTTAAGGAAAGTAATTCATGAAGACTTAAATACAATTTTTTTTAAAAAATAATAATAATTAAGTAGTAGGTTATTAAAATATAGTCCTTGTTTACACTCAATGAAAAATGTAAAAATATTTTGTCAAAAATGATTTTTAATATAAAGCAGTTTCTGCATACAAATGGAAGCGGAAATTATTATATTATTTACTCAAGGAATTATTATTATTTTATTTTTAATGGCAAGATTAAAAAAACCTGCAGCAAAAAATATAAAGAACCATAGAGAACAAGAAAGTAGTTGTAGCGATAGTTGATGAATCCGAAAGTTCCCTGTTTACAAGAGAACATTTGGTAGAAGAATGAGTAGATCACCATTCATGACGCATCAACTAGAAGGGCCATGACCAATCCCAAATTACAGAGACTGCAGATAAGCGAGAATTATTGTTCTTATTTGCGTGAAAATGAATTTAAAAACACGTATTTCGATTCTTCTAAATATACTTTTATTGGCTTATTTATGTTCTCATAAAAAAGTGACTAAAATCCTCTTTTCAGGGACATAAATTCATAAAAAAATTTATTGGGCTCTCATATTAAGATTAAAATGATAATTTCTAATGTTGTAATGTAATTTCTAATCATTTTAGTTTCAAAATTCATTCATTTAATTTGAAGTCAAAATATGAATATTTATGTCTTCAGTATATTATAAGCACATATGTCTTTTTTTTAAAATAAATAAATAAAGAAAATAAATTTCAAGAATGAAATTAATGAATTACCAAACTTTATTTTTTCTTTCTTTCTTTCTTTTGTTAAAAAGGTTTTGGGAACTTTTTTGTGCCTACAGCCTTTTTCAAAGAACGGTTCTTGTTTTTGAAAAAATAAAAAATAAAAAGTCGTAGCAAAAGTTTTTATTTTACAGAAAATGGGTAGTTCTCACGACTATAATTTGTTAATAATACAATATTTATGTTTGAATCTGAAGTCAAAGGAGTAGATAAATGAAGGAAATATCCACTATGTACAATCGATTTTTCTCAAAGGCGCTTTTTTAAGTCATTGCAATATTTATTACCCGGCGTTAGAGGGTTAATGAACTAACCAATTAAAAATGATAAAAAAAAGTGGTAACTCAATTATTTCATTCTTGAAATTTACTGTCAAATTAATCAAAGAATTCGCGTTCAACGCAATGTATAGAAAAAATAAATATCTATATTTAAGTCTAAAATTAGGCAATATTGTAACCAACGCAAGAGAATCCATAAATGTCTTTCCGCTTTCTTTCATTAAGTCTTTTTTTTTATCACAACATAGTGTTACGTTTTCGTCATAGCAATCTTAGATGCGTTAATATCCTCATAACTGCTAACTTTTACGCTTTTTTTGGATGTGAAACTATTTATTTTGATTATTTTTCTAGAAATTCATTTACTTCAAATCACTATATCTGCATACTTATCAGTAGCTTTTATTGTTTTTAGGTTGTGGTGATCAAAATCATTTTATTTAATAAACCAAGATTTAAATTTCTCCAAAAAAGAGCATTGCTATCACAGGAAAAAATCTTTGTAAAAAATTGTAAAAGATGACAGGCATGATTATAGTAACCCATTTAAGATTACCATTGATAAAACGCAACTACTATTATGTTGCCTTAATATTTCAAAAGCCCAATATTAACACTAATTAGCTTAACGCTATTATTTTATGCAAGTAGAAGTGTGAAATATAGAAACATCTGTTCTTATCTGGGAGAAAAAAAGGTAAAATAAAGATTAGGCTTAAAAATTTTTTAAATGAGCAAGAAACGAAAATTTTTATTTCCCGATAAAAACATCTCCGAAATTTCTCGAAGGCAGCTTTTTTTTCTTTATTGGTATTACATAGCTGCCAATAATTCCTCAAATTTTTCGAAAGATTGTAAACAGGGTGTTTTTCATAATGACAACCCATAACAAATTTTTTTTAAAACACTCGGCAAAACTTGTCGAAATAGTAGCAAAAATCACGCATAAAATAGAAATTGATAGTTAATTTTAAACGAGGAAATAACGAAAACTTAATAGAAATCACGCAAATCACTACTGAGGTAAGCAGAACTAAAAGCATAGAAACCAGTTTAATTACCTGATGAAACTTGGAGATTTTTCAAACCATCACCATTTTACTTCTCCCTGTTTCCCCTGAAATCAAGCATCTTCTGATGCTAGTAGTTTTCGTCTTCCTCAGTAATGATTCGTTAAGGTTTGATAGTATTTTTATTTTTTATTAACTTAAACATGAACTTAAGACCGTTAATATACAATCTCTTTTGACTTGAGACTCTAATATATATTAAGGGTGATCATTTCGGAGTACCTAATAAAAATAGCCTGATTTAATCGATGATTTATGACATATGAAGCATTGCGTCTTTTTTTTCATATATAAGATTGTAGTCATACAAAGTCTAACAACGCGAATGAAACACAAATAGTGCTACAAAACAAATATACTATAGGCACTATTTTTGTTTCATTTACGTTTTTCATATTTATTCATACATAGCACCCTTTCTTTATTTGGGTCATACTAATAATTAATTTTTATTTCTTTTCAGACTGGTATTTAAAGAACTTTTTTGGACTTTTCTCCTCATTACTGTAGTTTTAAGAAGCACTGAGGGATCTTTAATATCTAAAAGAGCAGCAACAAAAGCACCATCCAGCTCTTCAATCTCAACTACAGCCTCTACAGTAGCTTCAGTAGAATCATCCACTCGAAAATCTACAGGGAGCCGAACAAGGCCTAAAGCAACGTCCAAACGAAAAACAACTACCACAACAACTGTAGCATCCACTGTTGAATCTACAACTCCTTCTAAAAGGCCCAATACTTCATCCAATAAAAAGAAGCCAGAAAGGGAAAAACCTTCAACAACTACTCTCTCCCCCATTGAGGTAATGAATAGACTATACCAAATGCACGGTATGGCTTCTCATGGAGTGTCTATGAGTCATTCATATCCTTCATCTTCTTCCACATCAACAAAGAAAAAAGAAGGAGCACCTTCATCTTCATCCATGGATGAAATTTACAGACTTCACGCTATGGCAATGGCTCAAGCTTCTCACAGTAACAAAAAGAAGCCAGAATCTTTACCCAGTAGCTCAAGTGAATCTTTTAAAGATTCTTCCCATACAAAACAGAACTCTCAAAGCAACTCGATGGAAAATATCTATCAACAGCATTCATCTCTGCCATCTTCAATGCATCATATAATGGCACAACATTCTCAAAGTAGCTCTAGACCTCAAAAAACAGAGAGTGTCCCCAGTTCTTCACAGGATTCACACTCTTCTTTGTCTAGCATAATGCAACCTCTATTGAAGCAACTGACACCAGTTGGAGCTGGAATAAGTGTAGTATTGGCTCCTTTGCTGCTTTTTAATGGATTTTTAACTTTCTTCAGCAACATGAGCCGATTTCTTAACAGCTTTGCACAAACAATTTTACCTGTACGACGACCAGGCCCTGCTCCAAACCAACCAAATTTTTTTCAGAACATCGGGCCAGATCATTTGCAAAGACAGCCAAGAGATTGGCTCGTAAATGCAGACAATCTCAAAGATATTCACCAGTTTGCTGAATTAATTTTAAAGGCTCTGCGAGAAAATGAGGGTTAACTGAAGAAGAAATCTTTTTCGCCATTCAATGTGAGCGAATGTATAGTGCCATTTTAAAGTTTCTCCTTGAAAAAAAGAGGAACAGAATTACAAATATACTATTTACCTTTAAGTGTTTGGGCACCTGTGTTAGAAAAGAAAAACACAACGTATTTATATTCAGTAGTTAATGAATAACCTTCCTTAATAAATAACCTTAACCTTAATAAATAACCTTTACGAGAGGCAATTTTAGGGGCAAGCTTTTCACATATCCTTGCATCATAGCTAGTCTCTTCCATTTGATTGGAGAAGAGATAAGTTTTTTTTTTTGCATATTTCGGACGCCTTAATTCAGCGATCCAACTCGTCCCAGAGTTTCACGATAGGATCTGGGTTTAGGGAAGGGCAGTTCAGTTAGTTAATCCCATTGTCATCATACGAATCCATTATAGACCTTATATCAGCTAACGGCTAGAAATAATATGGGTCCAACCTTTTAACTGTCACAACGTAGAAGCACACTGCTATCCAAAATGAAAGAGGTGTCAAAATTGAGAGATTATCATGAATTTGAACCAAGGGCTCATACTAGTAGAAACAGTTCCAGACCAAAATTCCACCACCACCGATATGCATGAGTGTCCAAATAACTATTGGTAGATTGTGTATATGTTATGTGAGCTTTATTGCTCACTTTTTAAGATTTGTAAAAATCTAAAGTATTATTTATTTTCCTTAGAATATTATCATTTGTTAATTGTATTAATTTATTATTGAATGTTTATATCAAAGGCTATTAAAATTATTAGTATTATGATGATCTCCAGTTTTTGTTTTTGATAAATGAAAAATAAAACAAAATAACATTATTAAAATTACATTAATTCGATTAAGTAATCAAATCATTGCACAAAAATTACAAATACTTGAAAAATTATTTTTCATTCTGTGACTAAAGCTTGTGAAATAAGCTTCATCGCAAAAATGTAAATTTTTGCTTCTTTCAACATCAAAAGAAACCACCTTATTCCACAAGTATAGTCTGTCTATGGAAAGAACTCCCTTCGACACTAGTCTGGTACAGTGGCGATGACTATGGTTACGAGGTTTAATTATTTTAGGAAGGGGTGCTAGGTCAATATTTAAGGCAAGCTTTAGCTGGGATCAGCGACAGAAGGGAATCAGAAGAAAGAGAAGCTCCCTTTCTAAAATGCATTGTTTCTCATTTCCACAGCAACAGACGGCCTTAGACTTCGTGGCGAAGGTAGTTCCTTCTGTAGACAAACTATACTTATAGTTTCTTCCTTGACAATCAGAATTCGTTATGTAATCAAACCAGTTTAACCTCTTTCCATAGTATATCCTTATTTTGTATATTCCTTTCTTGTATTATCACTATTTTATATTCCTTTTTCCGTCTTTTGCGCCAAAATTTACTCACAAAATCGCGAACTCTACGGTTGAATAAATTAACGAGGACCGGCACTGCTCATCCTCAGTCCTTTTGCAGTCTGATAAAAGTGGTCAACCAATCGTTCACTGATCGATACCAGTGTTGCTTGAGATCTACTGGGAAAAAAAATTCTAAAGTTTGATGAAATGAGTTGAGGTAGTCGTAAGGTTACGACTCATGGCAGCAATGCAGCACTTAAATAAATGGACAAAGCAATCACCTTCTACTACTAAGTTTTGTACTACGGTGCTTTGTTCTGCCCCGATTATAAATCACATGCTCATAAGAGGTTTTGTTAATGAGTTTTGTGCAGTCTGTGGTGCTTTCCTAAGTTCTTCCTTTTTGACGGAATATGATAGCACTACTGTATTTCTGACGCTATCACTAGTGTCCAATTTTTATTTAAGCAACCCCTCCTCCCCATTTACACGAAACCTACGTTGAATTGAACAAGGGACGAAAATCTCATTTTTTAACACCGATTCACCCAGTTTCTTTCAGGCAAGCATTGTCGTGTAAAGGCAATTCCGAGTCGGGCCAGTAATCACACGCGTGATGATTAGCTCCTTGCATCACAACGATTTAAGCTTTAGGTTTACGACTACTAATGTTCAACACCGTAGCCTTGTAATTTTGAACCCAATCCAGAGGACAAGGGAACTCCTGGATGAAGTATTGGGAGGAATTTGCCTTCGCGGAGGACTTTTTGATGGAACTAATCCGCACTTGCTTTACATGGAGAGGAAGAATACGAGAACCTTCCACTGTTAGCTTGACGGTAATGGGATTCTGACCTATGCTAGATTAGAATTCCATTAGTTAGTCTACCACGAGGATATTTCACGTCAGCGCCGTGATCGATGCAAGTCGGATGCGGAATTCGTATCGACCAGCTGTGTCTGGGATTCGAACCCGGTGCTCCTCATTGGAAGGCGAGTGCTCTAATCTCTGAGCTTTCGCAGCTCTTACCACACTATTATAAAACTCATTTATTCAAGGAGAATATCTAGAAAAATATAATTTTTAACATTATCAGTTTTTTTGTATTTATTTTAATAGTGAGCGATTAAAAGGAAATTTAAGGTATGAAAAATTTACTTTGCATTAAGCTAGGTAACTATAAATGATAAAATCCAAAATTTTAGAGGAATTGGGAGAAAAATGCTTGAAAAAATGCCCTTATTTTTTAAAATTTTTATTAATATGTATCATTTTGCGTTGGGAAATTAGTGAACTGAAGATATAATAAACTCAGTATATACCAACCTTGCTAAATATTAAAAAATATCAAGTCTAAATATTAAAAAGTATCTCCTAAACTATTTTTTGATTACAGAATTCACAAACTTTTATAAAACTATTGCAAATATTTTTTTAAAAAAGTGCCTCCTTTGGTTGTAGGAACTTACTTTCTTCGATTACTCATTGTATGCAATAGTTACAATGTTTTATTAGAACCATATTTCCGGATTCTGTCGAAGCCTATATTTCAAAAGTCAAAGATCCATATCCAGCTGGAAAAAAATTTTTTTTTTATAAATAATCAAAGCTTAAAAAAGCTAATTCATAAAATTTCAGTCCTCTTTATAAATCATTGGTCAATTTTAAATTTGTTAATTATTTATTTCAGTCATAATAAACTTGGTAATGGCGCACAACAAGTATACGGTGAGTATAATTGTAGAAAAAATCAGAGAAATAAAATAGTTTCTATTTACATGAAACTGAAGAAGACATAGGCTACATGTCTGAACATGTGGCTTTGTAATTTAATCAGTTTAATAAATATGACATCACCGTTTGAAAGAGAAATACTGAAAATAAACTTACAAGCCTCGGCATTGGAAATTTTTTTCTCTGATGTCTTTACTTCCAAATGTATTAAAAGTAGCAAAATGGAACATATCCTGATAATAGCAGCCATTGTTTCAAAATTTTCTGAATCTTTTAAGCAAATATTCGTATAAGAAAATTTGGAGTTAGGTACAAGCCATTGTTTGGAATTTTATTTATTTATTTTCTGAATATTGAAATTTTATATATTTAAACTGGTGCACAGTACTTAAAATGAATTAGAGACGAAAAAGTGTAGGAAAACTAGGATTTTTCTAGAAAAATAAAATTTTTAACATTATTAAATATTTTTAATTTATTGTAATAATGATTGATATAAATGGAATTTAAATTTTAATAATTTTATATTACATTAAACTAAGTTATTTTAAGTGTTAATATTAAAAGTTTTAGCAGAATTATACGAAAATTTCTTGAAAAAAATACGATATTTTTTTTAAAATTTATATTATTGTTTCCATGAATCATTTTGTTTGGAAGTTTGTGAACTGAAGACATAATTAACTTAACATATGCGTCCTCCCCTCCCGCCAAATATTAAAGATTATCAACACTAATTATAACTTAATTATATTAAAAATATCAACTCTAAATATTCAGAAATATCCTCTAAACTATTTCCCGGTGATAGAACTATAAAAATATTTCTTTTAAAATAGTGACTGCTGTGGCTATGGCAACTAGCTTCCCTTGATACCCACACTTTGTTTTATTAGAACCATATTTCCCGGATTATGGCTTGCCACATATTTTGAAGGTCAAAAATCCAAATCCGGCAGAAAAAGGGTGCATCGATTCTGAAAACGTACGTTTTTGTATCCGATTTCGAACATAAAATATTGTTTGTTCTAAATAAATAGTGCAGACAATAATTTGAAGTACAAAATCTGACACAACGTGACATTGAGACACCGATACTAAAAGTAGTTCAATTTTTACCCGTTCGTTTTTCTTAACTTTCCCTCATTTTCGAATGTTTGGCGGTCTATTTGATCATGCTCTTGACGAACAAGATCAAGCGAACAAGATCATGCTTAACATATATGGATTGAGTAAAATTTCTGCTGGATTAGAGGGAACAGTCGTTAAGTTTAGGTAGGAAATAAATTGCGGGCAGAAACACTTTTCTTTTTCGCTAACAACAGGGCCCTGAGACAGCTCTAACGCTATCTCAGGGAATCTCTCTATTCTTTTAGCTCTAACGCTGAAAAAAAAATTTTTTTTTAATGATGTTTACTTCGAAGCACACAAAAATCTATTCTAAATTTCATCTCACTTTTTTTTCTTTGGTTTGTTTAAAAAAAATAGAATTCCAGGTGTTAGTTCGACGTTTCAAATAATGTTATATTTAAGTTTTTAATATTCAATTTATTATTATATCATTATATATTATGATTATCCCTTATCTTTTGACTCAACGTTTTTTTCTATGATGTTTACTTCGATGCACACAAAAATCTACTCTAAATTTCATCCCATTTTATTTCTTTGGCTTGTTGTCAAAAAATAATAATGAATATTCAATTTATTACTATATATTATGATGATCCCTTATCTTTTAAATCAACGTGTTTTTCTTTTCTTTTTGAGACGTTTTTTTGACTTGGGAAATTGTTTTATGCAACCTAGATTGAATATTCAAAAATTGGGAGTTTTTTTTAAATGCAATCTGAGCATTCTGGCTGTCCGGACAACTAATCAGCTGTCTCCAATCAGCTGAGATTTTGTGAATTTTTGTGGATTAAAAATAAAAGAAGCTCAGTCAGGAGTTATGAAAAGTTTTGTTCATTAACCATCTTAGGAGAGTTTTCCAGTTTTAATTTTTTGTTGTAGGTCTGATAGAAAAATATTCAAGATGAATGATTGTATTATACCAAACTGTTTGATTTATAAATTTTTGCTTGAGTTGTGGGTTATTGTTAACTACAGCGTTTTCCACTGCAATTAATGGCGTTTCTTAAGCATAAATTTAAACTATTTTTCTATCAATGTTTATTGGTCAAACATAAATTCACATACCATATTCCAAAATACTTTAGCTGACGTGAAATATTCTCAGTGGTGGACGGATCATGGGTTCCCTTGCCGTCAGGCTAACCGTGGGAGATTCTCGTGGTCTCACAATACTTGATCCAGGAGTTTCCTTGTCTTCTGGATCGGGTTCAAAGTTACAAGGCTACGGAGTTGAACATTTGAAATCGTAAAATGATAAATTGGATTGGCTGTTCAACGATAATAAAAACAATATCCTTCATATTTAATTCTAATTTTTTAAAAATTAATAATAGTTAGGGCACAAACATACTTTAATTGAATGAACATACCAACGAATTGGGATTTTTTAATCTTCAAAACTATCCGCAGTATGGTTCCAGAAGTTTGGTCAGAAGAGCGATCGAAACGCTAGCTAACTTAAATGTAAATTTTACTTATTGCGTACTTTGCCATGTCTCGAGAAATTTTAAAGCTAATCAGAAACATT